GGATCGACTGATATGCAACATGACCTTTTCCGGTCAGGTCATGACCTTGACCTGAGGTCAATTTTTTAAGTTGACCTTTCAAGGTCAAATTATAAGGCCTGGTCGGAATCGGCTGCTGTGCTGTTGTCAGCTGAGATCCAAGCCTTGATTGGTTGAGCTATTGGTGACGTATCACACCTTTTCGCCCTGTGACGTCATACCTCTGCTGACAGCCGGCTTTTCGGCTGCTGGGAAAGGGGCAAGGGCAGCAGCACGTCAGCCGAAATTCAAAGTGTCTCGAAAGTGACGCATGTAAGTCAAAGCGCAGCTTTTTTAGTGCAGGTGGTTAGTTTTTATATACGATGTTTTTGACGTATTTTGTACTTAATATTTTTCGCGAAAGATAGCAATTATTTCTTTTCCATGGCGCAATGTGCGAGTCAGCCTGAAAACAGTACCTAATAATGATATCACCGTCATTCAAACCTATTCCACATATCCGCCGCTTCTTTTGATGCACCGTTTCGGCACGTGTCCGGAGGTGCCTCACAGCCCGTTTTCATCTTCATCGTCCAGACTGTCGGCAAAGCCTTGCATTGTGCTCTTCAGCTCTAAAAGTGATGCGACTTAAGTCTTCCTCAGCTCTGCGACAGCTACTGACCAAAACCAAAGACTAGCGGTGACAGATCGGGGCCTCGCGCTGGCCAGGGGCGGGCGGTGAGGCAGCTGATTATTCGGCCCGGGAACGGAACTTCTGGTCCAGCCAGTTCTTGGTGGCTACAGCCGTTACAGTGGTTGTTTCTGATAAATTGGGGGCTTGGCTATATCTGATGTTGAAAGAAGCTTCTTGTTATCTTAAAAGGCCCTAAAAAGACCCTGACCTTTTTAACGATTTCCGCCGAGAGGTGGGAGCGACCCGCCTTTTTTTGGACTGGAACCGGCATGAAAGGAACCCTTTTAAACCTCTCAAGAAGCCCTTTGAAACTTTTATAATTTGGGTCGTAGCGAGGTGAGAGAGTGAAACGTTTCCTGAAAAGTCGGCGTACGGTTTCAATGTTTCTGATAGCACCAAATGTAAGTGTAATTCACCCCTCCTGTTGCGGTGTAAATAACCTGTTCTTGTTCTGTATAAGGAAAAAAACGACTAGTAACTTTGGCCTCCTGCCCTCGCTCCGTATGAGTGTAAAATATGTCTTAAGTGGCCAAAGCATAAATGTCCAAAAATTTGCAACAAAGCCACGTGCGCAACCACGTGCTTTGCTTATTTTATATATCTTTAATAAGCATTTACTTTTTGACACTTTTAGTGAAACACCCTGTACAAATCGAAATGCCAGCACCGCCTCAATAAACAATCCTGTAATTTTTTCTATAGCCTCGGCAAATAAACCTCAGAAATATAATGTAACGCAAGATAGTCATTGAAAAAAGCGCGAAAATGCTACCTCGCCTCAAGTCTCAACCCTATCTGTCGAGCGCCATCTTTGGCTGACGTTTCCTGTCAGCCGATTATGAACAAGCCCATCAGCAGCGCGGTGTGGGCGGGGCTTATTCTCGGCTGACAAAGTTCCGTCAGCCGATTCCGACCAGGCCTATAGTTAATTCGACGCGTCTCGACGAGATGATTACGATGCTGGCAAAAGTAGTGTCATGGCTCTTTTGAGTCAAAAGTTATTGCCGAAAAAAAAACGCTTTTCGTAAAAGCGGCTATTTTTGGAGTTTTTGCCCTCTAGGGGCTAACCTGTTGACCTGAGGTCAAATCTGATAATATTACTCAGAAAGGTCTGTAAAAGGGCTATCGAATGCGCTTTTCCGCGGCGCTGTAGCTCTATCGGTTCCCGAGATAGCCGTCGGCAGTTTCCAAAATGTTGAAATAGTCAACATTTTACCTATGGTGACCTCTGGTGACCTGACCTTTGACCTGACCCAAAAAAATGACCGAAGTGTTTTCGTCCTTATTTTGGACGTTCTTTCTATTGCCGCTTTCCGCGTGTCGCTACGTGGCCCATGGGAGCCGAGTTAGAAGGGTTCAGACACCCCCGGCCCGGCGGGGAATCTTAGAGCACCGGCCCGCCGCGGGTTTAACAGCAATGCCTCCACGAAAAGTAGAGACTAGTTTTCGTCAGGTCCAGCCGTGACCGTTTGGTGCTCGGCTCCGTGTTAACTGGAACAGTTATGGAGCGCGAACGTGCAGTTTGTTGTGATAAAGATGAAGAAGGAGCGATGACCGTCTCCAACTATCGCCCGTGGGGCGAATCGCTACTTTCTCTAGCCCTGTTTCCATGACACTACGGATAGGATCGGATCGGCGAATCCGGATCGACGAATCCGGATCAGCAGTGCCGTTTCCATGACCGATCCCTCCCGAAACGGGATTCGCACCGGGATTGGCCGATCCGGATCGGCTTCTCTAATCCGGGATTGGTAGACGTAACTGGCGCGCTGCGGCGATTTACTTCATAATTCCCTTCATAACGTTCTCAAGCTAATGCGAATCAAGCGGTAAGTTGTGTCTTTTCAGGGATCTGTGCCACCGTTTGTGCGCAGAGACTACCGACTGGGATTCAGCGACCACGGTGTCAGTGTTAAAGACTGTACGGCCGGCGGCGAGACTGTACGGCCGGCGGCGAGGGTCCCCGCCGCGGCGGGTAGGGGAGACGGCGCGACCTTGGCGCGTCCCCTAGTGTCGCGCGGTGCCGCTCGGGGAGGGTGGACGTGGGTGTGCTGAGTGTGTAGTGTCGTCTGTCGTCTTCTCTTGCGACCATGTAAGTTTCTGCCGTGCTTTGTAACAATTGGTTAAGAAAATTTATCCCAATTATTGCAGCAAACATAAACCGCAGACCAAAACTGGCGCCGAAACGCTCAGTTCAAAATGGCGGCGGCGCCGCCTGCCGCAAAGGGAATAGTACTGCCATATGCTGCCAAAGTGGGATCGGCCTCTCTAATCTTCTTTTTGAATCCGGATTACCCGATCCGATCCCCCAACGCGAAATGTGTCGTTTCCATGGTCGTTTGAATCCGGATTCGGAGCTAATCCGGATTCAGAAGTGTCATGGAAACGGGGCTTCTGACACCTTTCTTCCTTTAGTCGAACATGTTAACCCTCGCCCCCCGGGGGGGGGGGGGGAATTTGCCCCCCCATGTGGTTTTTCCTGAATAGCAAAAAACGGCCAAATTTTCAGTACCTTACCGGGCATCAATTTGACACTTCCAAACAAAATTTCAAGTCTTAGGTCACCTTAGGTCAGGATTTATTGAGGTCAAAGTGAGGTCATGTTCGAGCAAAAATGAGCAAAAAAAAAACATGAAATCTTGAAACGCTCACCAAAGCTACAGTTACTTAGCAATTTCAAAGTTCTTTATATGGTCATGTAGAGGAAAGACGGCGCTACAAAACTGTTATCTCGAATTTTCAAATTGTTTGGATTTGAACCCCAAAAATAAAAAAAAAATTATTTAGAAAAACTAAAAAATCCCATTTTTTAATTTAAAAAAAATCGTAATATATGTGATAGTCCCTGCACTCTTCTATCTACATACCATTTTTTAGATCGATACCTCTTTTTTGGCCAAGTTATAGCGAAGAAACTGTTCAAAATTGATGACGTCAAATTTTAAACTCAATTTTTGGCAATTCTAGAGCACATAGCGCAAAACAAAGACCACCATTGAACTCCCCGTGACGAGCTGCATCGAATCGATACCCATTTTATGCAAAATATCAACTTTGAAATTTGACCTAATTTGACCTGACCTTGACCTGACCTTGACCTGACTCTGACCTGACCTTCACCAGAACATAATCTAAACTGACCCGAAAGGCTGCCTGACCCACATAATCGCATTTGACATATAAAATGGACCATAAAACATGCATCACATGATAGTTTCATATTGTGATCCTCAGTGACCTGGCCTCTGTGATCTGACCTGGTATCAGTGACCTCAAATAGCAAAATATGTGTTTGAAGAACATTTCCCCATCGATGGTTTTCAATAAAATGCATTTTACTCGATTTTACAACGCATTTCTTGAAATGCTTGTAAACGGTGAAATCCGACATTTGATCTGACCTGTGACGTCATCAGTTTGACCTAGGGCAATGAAATTGGGTCACAAGGTAGTTCCCTGATAGAGCTATCCAACACCGTTTGCCGCTTGTCGCTAGGTTGCGTGGTTCTCGAGATCCAAGGGGGCCAAATTGCCCCCCCCCCCCCCCAGCAGGGCGCGTTGCGCGGCAGACCCCAACGGGGCGCGGGTTAATCGTCAAGCTTGGTGCTAGATGTTCATTCGTAAGCTGGGTGAAGGATAAAGGCTTGCACTGATTACTTCTTGCTTGGGGAAGATGATGCATCACATGGCAAAAACGTCAACTTGAAAATTTGATCAAGGGTCAAGGTCATGACCTAAACGGAATAGGTCATGTTGCGTACTGCCCGATCCCTATCGTTGATGAGTTTGATGTGAACATGTCTGAGGGCTCTCATCGCTCTAGTATGTCTCATCAAAAGTTATTATCGAACGACTGCTGTAAATATTTTGTGATGTGAGTTGACATCAGGGGGTATACATATAAGGGGTCACGCGTACAACTGTTCGATGCCTCTTCAATGTTTATCTGCCACCCGACGTTTGGAGTGCTGAAAATGGGTGGTTATAAAGACTCAGTCCAATTTAATTTATAGCTATACATATGTCTTGGGAGGTCGCAAAATTGACCTGACTCTAGGGCACATTAAAAAACGAAATAAAGTACAAATATACACACTAGTAAAATTATTAATTGCTGAGGGTTTTAAAGCGATCATTCAGCCGGTGTACATAGCTTTGCGAGTTCTATAGCCTTTTTGAGTCTAGGTCTTCACGGGACCTGGTGACCTGACGTTGCAAGACCTTACATTTTCGCAATTGGCGTAAGAAATATATGAAAAGTTATGCCGAGCGTAGGGCTCGGGTTAACTGCTTGAGACGTAAGAGACCCAAGAAAAGTCCGTTCACTCCTTTTTCCATGCGCTAATTCAAAGACCGAAAGATGCAGAGCCCGTTGCAGTTCTCTCGCTCCATGAACCGTGACGTCACGAGTTTGCCAGCTCGGCGCCGTGAGAGAAACTCGATCGGCCGGTGCTATAAAGGCGGGGACGGTGGAGAGACCGTCAGTATCTAACGTGAGCCGCCGGTGACCGACAGCAGAGTCTGCAGACACGACTGGAGTGTGAATTTCGTCCGCACACCGACGAGCCAGGAGAGAAGATGGCTTCCCGTGCAGTGAGTGATACCGGTTTTAGCTGCTCCGGGCCGGTCCTGGGCAGAGCGGCTCTATGTGTTTACTATGGAAAGTGTACTTTCAGAGTGTAGACAGGTGTTAACCGCCGCGGTCGAGGTGAAAACACCAGGTGTCCACCCGTGAGAATTATGCTGTGAAAGGGACAATTATATCATACATGGTGAGAAAGACGTGACAGTTGAGTAGGATGGAATCGTCTTGGAAAAAATAGCTTTCCATAGAACACATTGGACGGACAAGTTGGGTAAATAATATGCTCGGAATATTTTATCTAGGGATAATAAGCTACTGGTTTGTTCGATTCATAGTGAAAGTATCTAATGGGTGGTCTATGAATGATTCAAGAACTTTTGAAAGTGATAGTAACGTTCTTTCTAAAGCCCTCATGCATTATGTGTGCTCATTTCACGTTACAGATGAATAGGTGTGTAATGAATGCTGTTCCATATTCCGTTGTAAGTTCTGCGCAACGTGCATTCTCTTTGGGAGGCAATGCTACGCGATAATATGTTTCACGGTGAGAATAGCTGTGACAACTCTGAGACCTGTGTAAAATATTGATATGTAAAACGGTATGGTCGCCACTAATGTTCACAACCGGCTCGCAAAATATTTTCGCACATTGCCAAGATATGTAAAGTATTCATTACTATTTCAGATAGCCATGGTAATGCCATGGATGAGATGACACATCCATGGCAATGCCTAGCTTTGCGACTACTAATGCTTTTTGTAGAAATCAATCGATTTCGATTATTTGTAACGGAAATAGAAAACCCACCCAATGAAAAACATTACTGACATAAGCATCAACTGATTTGCGAGCAAACCTTCTGAACTTGACTTTGCGTAAGTCGTTGAACTCTCCGGGTTTCCTCAACTACCTTCTTCAACTAACGATAGATCTCCCTTAGCCTATAATTTATCTACCTTCAAAACTTTGCGACCCCAGCTGACCTATAGTGACTGGTGGCATTCCCTGACTTCACGGCTGATGCAGCTCCTGTCACGTTAACACACACTGCAATATGCATGCTGCAAAAGCTGATCTTCCAACCTCCCCAGAATAGTCGCTGACCTCTGTGCTCCCGTATAAGTAACTAACTTCTCAGACCTGACCAGCCGTTGATTAGTGTGGTCAGCCAACTGACCCCCTGACCTAACTGACGACCCCTGACCTGCCCAGCTGCTGACCCCCTCCCCTGCTCAGTCGATGGCCCCCGACCTGCCCAGCTGCTGACCTGTCCCGCTGACCTGTGTCGCCCGCAGCTGCTGACCTGTCCCGCTGACCTGTGTCACCCGCAGCTGTTGGTTGCCGTGCTGGGCCTGACGGCGCTGGCGCTGGCCGAAGCCTACCCGCGGCCGCAGAGCTACGAGCGCGCGCCGCCCGTGTACCGGCCCGTGTACGAGCCGGAGCCCGAGTACAGGCCCAGCTACGAGCCCGTCATAGAGGAGCGTGCCGGCTACGGCAAGCCCTCCCTCAAGGGACGCGTCAAAATTCAGGTGCGTTATTGAGTGCCCCAAGCCAAGGTCGGGGTATGCATAGATGTTAGACAATCTCCGCGAAAAGAAGACACCTAAAATAATTTCGTCGATGTAGCATCAACGTAGCGGTATGAACAGTCACTGTAGCCGCCGAGCCGCTGTTCGCTGTAACGGACATTATTTTCGATTCGTTGGGTGAGATGCGTTTGGTGAAATGCGAAACTTCAGCTAATGATTTATTCAAGTCTTAGTTCATCTCTATGTCTTGTCATGTCATGTCATGTCATGTCATGTCATGTCGTTAAAGCTTTATGCATCTTACGGCTCAGAGCTAAATCAATTAGTATACACAAAACTACGCATCGTAATACAGCAATCGAAAACCCACCAATTTTAGCCTTTTTCGATGACCTGGAAATTTAAATTAAATCTCGCGGGCATCGCACGCGAATATAACTAACGGCGCCGCCACATGACAGACTATTTACAAATATGTACAATACCGTATGGGAATAACGTGATGAGGCGGCAACACTCCCCACCTTGACCCGATCAGGGCTCAACACTCACTACACAACTGCACATGCCATTAAAGCTGACCACTGTACAGCATACACTTACGTCACCTTTGTGGCATCAACTTTCTAACGCGCCATGCAAATGAGCGCCTGCCACATTTGAGCCTTTGGTTCAATAACAGGTCCTAAATACTACCGCGCTAAACAAGCACTATTCAACTGTTAGAACGTCAGCATGGCAAGCACCAACACAAGGCTCATCACCGATCCATCAATTGTCTCAACTATTTCTGGTCACCATCGCGATCGGTGCGGCATGGTGCTCTGACGAGTAGCACCTTACAGAGATGCTATATCTTTGTGTTCTCACTATTCTGCCTCCAAGATGAGAACGAGCTTCGATATCGGCCTCTTCAGAACTGACGTCTCGGTCTGTACCATTGCAGATCGGACGAAGCCTTTCCGGTCCGGGAAAGTCTCTTTGATTCGGCCCAGAGGCCACCTGGAGCGTGGTGTGCTCGTATCCATGACAAGCACTACGTCATTAACTGCTAGATTTCGTTCCACCTTGTTCCACTTGTGTCTCAGTTGTAATAGCGGCAAATACTCCCGAATCCATCGTTTCCAGAAGATATCGGCCAAATACTGCATTTGTCTCCATCTTCGAGCAGACCGGCTGTCCCTGGCGGTGAACAGGCTGTCTGGCGTAGGACCGCCCCTCAGCAGGAGAAGGTCATTTGGGGTCAGCGGCTGCAAGTCTGTTGCATCACCTGAGACGGTGGTGATTGGAGTCGAATTCAGTATTGACTCGACCTCGCACAACAGCGTGCGGAGCGATTCTTCCGTCAGCGTTTGTTCCCGAAGGAGCCCATTCAGAATCTTTCTGATGGAGCGAATTTGTCTCTCCCACACCCCACCGTGTGATGATGCACCAGGTGGGTTGAATATCCACGTGATACCCTCCTTCAGGAGAAATTCGTGGACTTTCTTCTCTTGAAGTCTCTTCAACTCTTCGCGCAATTCTTTCTCGGCCGCCACAAAGTTGGTACCGTTGTCCGACCGTATAAGCGTAGCCTGACCTCTCCGAGCCTGGAAACGCCGCAATGCGTTGATGAATGAACTGGTGTCGAGGCTCTCGCATAGCTCTATGTGTACAGCTCTACTGGAAAGACAGCTGAATAAAACAGCATATCTCTTGAGCTGTTTTCTACCCATTTTCACATAAAATGGACCAAAGAAGTCCGTTCCAACTTGGCTGAACGCACCCATGTGCGCTGTCGTTCTCTCTGCTGGCAGGTCTGCCATGATCTGCGTGACCGGTGGGGCCTGCAGCCTCCTGCAGCGAACGCACTTGGAGAGAACTCTGCGGACCGCTGAGTTGCCATCCACTATCCAATACTTGCAACGTAATGCTGCCAGAACATGTTCCCTGCCTGAATGACCTCTGCGCTCGTGCATATCTCGGATGACAAGATCTGTGACATGGCCTTTCTTCGGCAGAATGATCTGGTGGATTGATGACGGTGATAGTCGTGAATTTCCTAAGCGGCCTCCCACTCTGAGTACGCCGTCTACTTTCGCTGGATTCAGTCTGTACAGAGAGCTGGACTTTTTCACTGTTGAGCAAGACAGCTCATCTGGAAAGGATGTCTCTTGTACGTATTTGACGATGGCCATTTCTGCTCTCGTTAGCTCTTCTGCTGTCAATCTCGCACACTGATAGGTACGCGCGAGACCAGCACGACCTCTCTTCCTGGCGTCACGGTTGCGGAGAACATCCTTTAAACGAAGTATCCAGGCCACTCGAGTCTTCAGCTTGTGCCAATCCGATGCACTGTGTAGGAGGCGCATGGTGTGATCCTCGTCTGTAGCTACGACATTCACATAGGGTTTCTTCACTTCCAGTGGCTCAGCATCCGAGCTGGATCTGAGGTCTGGCTGTTCCGGCCACTCTGACTTCGGACGTTTGAGGAACGCTGGCCCACCAATCCAATCGGACTCGTTCAGTTCCCGTGCTGAGCTACCACGCGATAGAAGATCGGCCGCATTCAACGCCGACGGCACATACAGCCATTGGTGCGGTGTGGAGCCATCATGAATGATTGTCAGACGATTTGCGACAAATGCTTGAAATCGAGATGTCTCGTTATTGATGTATCTCATGTTTGACATGCTGTCGGTCCAGAAAAACACTTTCTCTATTGGCAGCTCCAATTCTTGACGGATCTGAGTGCTGAGTTGAACCGCTAATGTGGCGGCCGCAAGTTCTAGTCGTGGAATTGAGCATGTCTTCAGTGGAGCTACTCTCGACTTACTCATAAGAAATGCTGTATGCACTGACCCGTCATCTGCAGTTGTTACATAATAAGCTACTGCCCCATAGGCGGACTCGCTGGCATCGGCGAACAAATGAAGCTGATGTCCATGTGTTGGAACGTTCGGAGTCAAACTCCTGGGCACGGAAAATGCGTGTAACTGTTCCAACTGCCGACACCATTCGTTCCATTTTCTCAAATGGACGGCCGGTATTTGTTCATCCCAGTCCAACTTCATCCTGCAGAGGTCCTGGAGTAGTATTTTCGCCGGCAGAATGAATGGAGCTCCGAAGCCTAGAGGGTCATACACTGCGCTGACGGTCCCTAAAATTCCTCTTCTGGTTGCTGGACCCTTTCGGATATCGATACGAAAACTGAGCGTGTCGTTTTGCACATTCCATTGTACGCCAAGAGCCCTCTGTGGCATAGGGCTATCTCCAGTAAGGTCTACCTTGTCAGGGAAGGCACAATCCACCTCGGGCAGCCCACTCAGCGTTTCAGGGCTGTTACTCACGAATCCGGTCAATCGGAAACCTCCCCTAGCACAACATTCTCTCACTCCTTGAGTAACATTCTTCAGTTCTTCGGCCGTTGAGCATGACTTCAGAAAGTCATCGACGTAGAATGACCTCTCGATACTGTGTCTGACGTCTGTATGGAAGTCATTACCGAAATCCTGTGCCGATCTTCTCAGCGCAAAACTTGCGCATGAAGGCGAGCTGACAGCGCCGAACAGGTGAACGTTGACCTGATATTCCTGCAGATCCTTTCTTACGTCACCGTCAGGCCACCACAGGAAGCGTAGTAGACTTCTTTGCCTTGATGGAACGCGCACTTGGTAAAACATTTTCTCGATGTCGGCCATGACTGCGAATGGCCGTTCTCTGAATCTCATCAGAACGCCGAGGAGAGAACTGGTGAGGTTTGGGCCCTGCATAAGACGATCGTTCAGTGAGGCGTTTCGAAACTTTGCGGAACAGTCGTACACTACACGAATCTTGTCCGGCTTGACGGGGTGGTACACTCCATGATGTGGAATGTACCAGGTTTGCCCAGCGGTTTTGAGGTGACTGTCTTTGACTCTCTCGGCATAGTTCTTCTCGATCAAGTCATTAACCCGCGAGTTGCTGGGGGGGGGCGTTAAACGCCCCCACTTTTTTCGCCGGGCCATAGCATAAAAACGGCGCGCCGCAGGCGCGCCAAATTTTGGGTACCTGTAGGGAATTGATTGAAGTTTATTGTGACAAAGTTTCAAAAAATCGGTCGGAAAATTTTTGAGATATCGAGGTTTTAGTGACGTCATGATTTCTGAGTTTTCGACCAAAAACGGCATATGTTCAAAAAATCATATAAAATCACAGAATAGACATACAGACATGCCGTAAACGCCATTAGACTGCCAATACCATGATCAAGCAAATGGCTATCTTCGATTATTGATTATCGTTCCGCATTTTCCATAATCTTGAACTGAATCTTGGCAATTTTTCGTGACTACTTCACGACCAAGATACATGAATTTCTTAAATTGAACTTTTTGAGCCAAACACGTACACATAATGATAAAATGAATGTCACCATCGTGTTCTACGCCCCAAATTACCTAAAAAACATGTGTCACAGGCTGCGAATATCAGTTTTGATTTTCGGGGATATGTGCCTACCCGGTTGACCTGACCTTGACCCTGACCTATGCTTGACTGACCCCTACATGGAGCTGACACTCTCGTAGGCCTTATAAGATGGATTGTGCACCGTTTTGACAGAGTTTATAGCGAGAGGCGCCCATTGCGAAGTCCTGAAGTCCATGCTACTGAAAGCCCGATTTCAGGTGTTTGACCTGACCTTGACCCGACCTGTGACCTCAAAATTCAACTTTAAAGTACTCATCTGAAGCGTCTCGTCGCGCTCTTTCGTTTGCCGCCTCGTGCGTTTCGCTGCGCCTATTGGTTCTCGAGTTATCGGCTGGGGGCGTTTAACGCCCCCCCCCCAGCAAACGGTGGGTGGCGAAATGCCCCAGCAACTGCCGGGTTAACAAATTTCTTGTAATCTTCCATGTACTTGTCGTTTTTGTTCATTTTCCTTTTCAGGTGCTCAGCTCTAAGCAATGCCTGTTGCTTATTGTCTGGAAATGGCGCGTCTTCTTTCAGAGGTAAGGGAATCTCGTAATGTCCATCGATATAGCGTGTTCCCGCTTCGACCGTTTTCAACCACACTCTGTCCTCCACTGACAGTCCCACGTCGGTGGAGCTGCCGTTGTCTTCGAATTCCTTATTATATAGCGAGACGAACTTCTCATGAATATCAGAATCACCTCTGAGTACACTGACTCTGTTTACTCTTGCCGCTCCATGCTCTCTGGTGAATCGGAGTTCTCGGGGTCCATACACAGCCCAGCCCAGCTCTGAACGGAACGCAAATGGCTCGCCTTCACCGCCTCTCCTGACCTCAAGTGGACACAAAGCCTCGGGACAGTTTCCGCCAATCATGAGGCCGATCTCAGCGTCTACTTGTGTCAGAGGAATTCCCTCGAGATGCATCCATTTACCGATGTCGGCTGGGGTTGCGATGTCCTCGTGTTTAACTGGTATCCTTTCAAGTGTGTAGGTGGGTGGCAGCTGAACAGCAGTTGAAGAATGAAGGCCTGTAATAGATAAGCCCTCGACTACTTGACATTGTACGGACTGATTTTCAGAAGCAGCAGTCATCATCGTCAGCCTTGTCGCTTTTCCCTTGACGTTCAGCCTTTTAAGCAGAAGATCCGTGCAGAATGTTGCACTTGACCCGAGGTCCAGGAACGCATGAGTGACGACCGATCGTGAGCCGTCAGGTGATCGAACTAACACGGGTATCACTGCCATCATTGTGGGCGAGTCTCCGCGAGCACCAGCCGCCACTTCTGCGCCGTCTATTTCCAATCGTCCGTTTCTTACGACGGCTGCCGGCCCTGCACTGCTACCACTGCTTTGCTTGCTTGTAGCAGAAAATTCGGAAGGAGATGCCTGCTTGTCGTTGTGCAGCGGAGTCGGATGGCGACCCTTGCAGATCTTGCAGGACAGCCTTTTTGTGCACACACTGATCTGATGCCGCTGCCGAAGGCACCCGAAGCAAAGTCTTTGTTCAACGATGAACGTTCTTCTCTTTTCATAGGGCTCATGATTCAGCCTCTCACAGGAATCCGTTGAATGTTGCTCGGCACAGTACAGGCACGTCATCACCCGAGGAGATGCGTCCTTATTGACACCTGTTGCAGACACGATGTGAGGCTTCTTACCGCTTCCATCTGGCTTGGTCAGCTTCCCGAAGGTGGGATCTGTGATTTTTCTCACTTCTCTGTCAACGAAAACTACGATGTCATCAAATGTCACCTTCCTGTTTGCTTCTTCCTTTATTTGTATCACTCTATTGCGCCAGCTGTCCTGGCAGTGATAGGGAAGCTTTTCCACTATCTTGCGCATCGTTCTTGGATGGTCGGTCTCTCTCGACCCTGGAGGTATATCTTTCATCACGTTGAGACACGACGTGAGCGCGATGGAGAACTTGTCCAGGCTGTCCACATCACCCGGCTTGATAGAATTCCAATCAGTCAGAATGTCGACAAATGCTGAAGACACCGAATCAGGGTCTCCATATCGCCTGTTGAGCAGGCGCCTGGCCTCCAGATAACCCGACCCATCTGACATATGCGCGCATCCACGTACGATATCAAGAGGCTTCCCGCGCAAATAGGTCTGAAGATAATAAAGCCTCTCGTCGGGATCATCAGTTTTACTGGCGACTCTGGAGTCGAAAGCTCTAACAAAACTGCGATACTTCGTTACATCGCCGTCGAAGACCGGTATCTCCAGCTTAGGCAACTGGCCCTTCTGAAGCTGAGTGAGCAGCACCCTTGAGTAGTCTGCCTGCTGTGACTGCTGAGGCTCTGTATGACCCCTCTGCTCTGTCGCTGCTCCTGCTGCCTCCGAGTCGTCTATGCTCCTAGCCTCGTGCGTGGTGGGCTCCCGCGATCTCCCAGACGGTCCATCAGAACAGCGACGCTCTTGAGTAGGGTTCCTGAGCCCTGTTTCTGGCTCAGCATTCCCAGAAGTCAGAGACTGAGAGGACGGCTGGTTTTGTCGGTCGGAGAAGGATGTGACTGGTCGTGCCGTGGCCGCCATACCCTCTGGCTGATCAGCTTCCGCCAGGATCTTCTCTCTTGCCTCCGATTCTGCAAGCTCGGTTCTTATCATTAGTTCCTCTTTACGAAGCCGAAGATTCAGCTCCTCCAATTCGATTTTACGTTTCTCCTGCAGAAACGAGGCTCGTGCCAGCAATGCAGCTCTTTTTGTCGCTTCAATAGCTCGCAGTGAGCGCACTGAGGCGGCAGAGGCGGAAGTGTGACAAGAGACAACTGACTCGCCACACACGGATTGGTCATTCAACGCCGCCTCAGTTATGGAGTCGTTATCTTGTCCGTTGTTGTAATCGGCGTCTTCTCGGTTCCTGCTAGAACCATCGTCCTTTTCATATCTCATAAGCTCTTGCAAACGTCGAACTAGAACGGCCTTCGTGCCCTTAATATTTGCGTGTCTCTTCCTCAGTCGCTCTTTCAACTCACTCACGGTAAGTCTGTCAAGCTTGTCCATTTTGTGACTTCGCGAGTTGCGTCCGATTAACCAATCAAATGCAGCAAAGTGGACCGATTGATCTGCTGTGATGCGTTGAATGCGATCGTCTCTCACGTCAGGCCAGGACGAGACGAGACGTCAGCCGTGAAGCGCGTAAGAACTCGCCTTCAGACGTTTTCAATTGGTGCAGTCGATCTGTCACGCAAGTCCACTAAAGCCGTCGTTTCCTTGGAAATACAAGAGCTTTTCACATCTTGCAATCATTCTTAGGCTTCATCTCGCAAGCTATTGCAGTCTTGCCAACTTAATATCGCTTACATCCAAATATGTCATTGTTCTTGCATAGTTCTACGCTTTACCTTCTCGTTTGGCTTTAACTTCGCACAAAGCTTTATCTTAAAGCTTTTTCTTGAATGCACTGGCTTTAACTAAATGCTTTAGCTTGAATGCATCAGCTTAAACTTAACTGTGAAAAGTTTTAAATGCAAAGCCTTTAAACTAAATGCAAGCTTCGACTTCGAACAAAGCCTTAACTTTAAGCCTTTACTTTAATCCATCAGCTTTAAGTTAAGTTAAATGCTAAAGCTTTAACTGTAGCCGCCGAGCCGCTGTTCGCTGTAACGGACATTATTTTCGATTCGTTGGGTGAGATGCGTTTGGTGAAATGCGAAACTTCAGCTAATGATTTATTCAAGTCTTAGTTCATCTCTATGTCTTGTCATGTCATGTCATGTCATGTCATGTCATGTCGTTAAAGCTTTATGCATCTTACGGCTCAGAGCTAAATCAATTAGTATACACAAAACTACGCATCGTAATACAGCAATCGAAAACCCACCAATTTTAGCCTTTTTCGATGACCTGGAAATTTAAATTAAATCTCGCGGGCATCGCACGCGAATATAACTAACGGCGCCGCCACATGACAGACTATTTACAAATATGTACAATACCGTATGGGAATAACGTGATGAGGCGGCAACAGTCACACATTTATTTGTTTACACTATAAATATTATATTGGTCTGTACTTGCAATGTGACATAAGTACCTAACGTCAAACAGTTTTAACGGATACCTCTTAGGCGTGGTGCAGCCCTGACGTGCCTCTGAACGTTGACAGACGTACCGCGGGCCCAGCAAGGGCTACGGCTATGACGTGTTTGCGCCCTGGGGCTACTACGTCACGCAGCCCGAGGACGACAAGGGCTACGGCTACCACTGAGAGGCGCGCGGCGCCTAATTCGGTGAGAGTTAAAACTCTTCTGTTACTGGCGGCAAGCGTAGGCATCGGTGAAGGAGGGGTAGCGCACATAGAACCTCATACGAAGAGACGGACTTTTAATAGTCGATCTTGCTTGATATGATGGGAATAAAATAATGAATGACCCACGGGGCGCTATACAGGTAGATTGAACTGTTATCAGATCGTTCTCCAAAGCAAGATTGTTGGAAAAGCATGATGTGTTGTTCCATTTGGAAAGTCAAAGTTCTACATTTGAAATATGGTGCGTTTCCAGGTTTCTTCCGTCTCAGGATATCAACATCTGAAGATTTTCGTTCGGCGCACCGTCCACAGCAAATAATGACGTCATTGGATAGCGCCTACAGCTGACTGGCTGATAAACGCGCTGAAGTCAGCAGTTCACATCATTCGCTGCAATGCCACCGAATCACTTGTTACATTTTCTCGTTTTTGTTATGACGGCTATGATTGTTGGACTTCCCGTTGTTACGAATTACCTGAACTTCTCAGATGTGCAATAAATATATCACCGTAGTGCTGTAGCATCACTTAGCTACTTGCGGATGGCATGGTTTGAATTGAAACAAAAATAAACATTAGGAGACAACATACAGATAATGGCAAGAATAAGATGTGCTTTGTCTCAACTCTTCAAGCACACAGTTAATGGGTTCATCAAAAGTTTTTGAATGAGATATTTTGAACTCGACGGCTTCTTGATTCTTCCGACTTCTTTGAAAGACGGCAAGAAACTGAAACTGAAACTGAAACTGAAAGACTCCTTTCGTAAATTTGTCGAATTCTCCACATAAGAAAGAGTTCGCAGCTTTTAGGCCCAGAGGCCAGACATTCATGGCTCACACCCACAAGACGCATTTAAAAGGCGCAGAGCCGTACCTATCATGCCGAGCCTCGAGCTTCCCAATCTGATAGGGGTTAAAACTTAGGATGATCCTTTAGTTTCAGACAGCCATGTCTCTTCGCCCAATACTAAACAAACTGAAAATGCCGAGATCTTCGATGGTTGGAATGTATTTGAAATGTAGCAAGTACAAAATAAATAAGAAGATAAAGATGAATAGGCATGTACATACCTCCAAAACGTCAGTCATACCAGTTCGGTAGAATTATAGTCACCGTGGGTAGAATGACGACTGAACAATACACATCCGTTGCTAAAAAAAGACCATCTTGACAGATAGGTAGGTATCTGCATTAGATGATGAATACTGAATGGCCTTCCTATTAAAGCGAAGGAAGCGAAAACGAGATAACAGTTGAGATATTTCACTTTCACTTTCCACAATTGAATAACGGTAAAGCGCAGACACATCGCGTGCATGACAATTATTACGCATGCTTTTCTAGGGAATGCAAACAAGGCACAGTCATACACATATCACCTTCACTACAAAGCATTCTGCTCAATGTTTCAAGATGCAAGACACTGCTGATATGAATGATCTATCACATATCGCACTTATACCTATACAAAACATGAGGCACAATGGGCGATCACTAAGCGCAATGTCTAGAGCGTTTCGTACTATTTTATAGTGTCATGTGGACATTTTGCATGTTTCAATACATGTAAGCATGATGTGCCCGTTCTACTTAAATTTAGACATCACAACAATAAGACTTGTTTACGTTTTGTGCCGCTAATGTTTACCTACTTCCCTACAATAACCTACGCTGGGCCGGGGGTGGCGGTTTGAACACCCTAGCAGTTTTATCGCATATGTCTCATAAAATGTGGCGCTTTGGAACACCTTTTCAAGCATCTCTCCTGCACATGTTGTGAAAATTTCAGACCCAAGCCACTCATGGTCAGGTCACTAGGTCACGTCAACTGTCAAGTGACCTTACATCACAGACAGCTATAATGCTCGCCATGACCGATCGCTTTCAGGGATTAATGAAAGAACCAGTATATTTTAAACCTTTGCTTCGGAACTTCGATAGACTTGACGTAAGGGCAGGTCAGTTTTGTTACTTCCCCGTTATGAGTCATATGGGAGAAAATTAACCGTCGCTTCTTTTTGACAAAAGACGAACTTAACACTCTCGAACATCAGGTAACAAGTAAAAATGGCACAATGAATCGGAAAATTGCATTTTATGCTCCCAAGGCCAGCTCAGGTCATGAAAGGTCTCCAACAGCTTTTAACAATATGTCTTGATCCGTCGACATGTAAGAGTTACGAAAACACCTTGCATGTGTTCAGATTACGGACACGGATCCCCTGATACGTAACCACTTTCGGTCAAGTCAGGACCAGGACCTTAGGCCAAATTTTCAAAATCACTATTTCAGGTCGAATTATAGTGTCTTAGAAGCGTCCTATGAGAGAAACACGATGCCGGTAAAGTAAATGTCGTGAAAGCTGTGTTAAAAGCTAAAGCAGAAAATATTTCCGTAAACGCATCAATCTAAGAGTTTTTGCCATTTTTTTTAACTAAACCGTTGATGTGAGATCAAATCTGAGGGCAGTTAAAAGACAGAACGTTGAAAGAGCTATCAAATCACCTTTATCGCAGCCTTTAGCTCTATTCTTTACTGAGTTGTGCGCCGATTTGTAAAAAAGAATAATTGTTTAACTATGCAAAAGTTGACCTCTGTTGACCTCTGCTGCCCTTGCTGTTGACCTGACATAAAAATCGGCTTAAGTATTGTCTCCATAATTTCTGACGTTCTTCGAAGCACCGCTTACCTACTGCGTGTTGCTACGTGACTAAGGAGCCGAGCTAGGTTGAGGGTGCTCAGACAGCCCCCCCCCCCCTCGGCCCGGCGCGGTTGGGGTCGAGCACCGGTCCGATGCGGGATAACCATCTGTTCACAGGCCTACAGCTGTTCCATTAGGTTCCACGATTGCATATTAGCACGGTCATACGCGGTAATGGCAGCTGAGCATTTATGATTTGTTTGGAAGCAGCCGATTTGTGAAGATGTGCAATGGCAGACCACAATAGAGTGCTTATTTAGCTCAAATACAAACTTTTGTCTGCAATTGCCACATTGACACCGGATGCTAAGTCGATGATGGGCGCAATCGCACATGCTGAACATCTCGTTTCAGTAAAATTCGCGACCGATCTCATTCGCCCCTGTGAATGAGATGCTGGAAGCTAATGTGATTGAAATGCAAGGACATGCACACAACTTTTTTCGGATCAGCAGTGCCAAAGACAGTAAAATAAAGTCGCGGAAAGACAGCAAATCCCAAATATCCGGTGAAGACTGAAGATGTTAATTCTTCTTCTTTGTCCATTATAAATTCACAGAGCCATAAACACATAACCCCGTGGCAATGTTCACTGGGCCCCGGTAGGGCCAAGCAGGTCGCCTGACCCAGAGCTTCACGCTTTTCCACGCATCGGCCTGCAGTCGCCGTTCATAGCCGGAGTCCACAGATTGTACCGTGCTGCCACCTCTGGGGCGAACGGTACACTTTTAATGACATTGCCCTCCGCCGGGTGGATGCGGTGCGGTGCTGCCGGTCGCCTGTACGTCATTGGAGGAAGCCGCGAGCCCAGCAGTCGTCCGGGGCAGAGCACTGCTGGCAGGAGCAGACACAGAATGTCATCAACATGATGCATATCAGGAGAGGTGCGCTGAGCTGTTAAAAATGCAGCTCTCCATCATACTGTTCCCGTCAGAGCTCTGTGAGATCCGCCTGAAAAGCGAGGAGTTCTGAGCCTTGAACCTGCAGGCTGCATGGAACATATATGTAGGTACCGTGCCTATAGGTAGACATGGTTATTTGAAGGTTATGTTATGTGGTCCTGAAACTTCATCGATCTTAAAGTTATCCGGCTATGCAAGACTGACAACTGTGTTCCGCAAACAGCACTCATGCCAATGGCGCTTTACGCACTATTTTGTCATTTACCGCAAACTATAAACATATATAATTAGGTTAGGTACTGTAAAAATAATAGGCATTGTTATAAGACTATTAGCTACATCAATATTTCTGCGATTTTTCCGCCGTTTGGATTGTTATTTGCAAAGAAAAATAAACGTAGGCATACCTAAGAATATCAAGCATGAATAGGTACCTATTGAATACAGAAAAGTTATCCGACCCAAGCTGGTAGCACCAGCGTCGAGTACATTTAAAAATGGTGCTAGCTAAACTACCTAATACCTAACTCAAAATCAAATCAGCATAGAAAGGTGTTAGGGGCAGTTACACTATTCGCCTACTTCGGTAGAAAATATTACATTGTAAGTAGGCACTATGATTAGATTGATGACGCATTGCATACTCAATGCTGTTACCAATAGCAAGAGGTCATTGTAGCTCCTAGGTTGTTCGAGTTACGCCGAACATTGCACTGCGAGAGGAGTCCCTCACACCTGTAACGCCGTACGTACAGCAGTGTCAGAAAGTGCCTCCCTGGTCCTATCATCAGCTAAGTCGCTTTTCTCCCAGGCCACACTTGATTTATAAAGCTGTGCCGTTCAATGCATTCGTATAATCTACTCAGACTGACTGAAAACCTATTCATATATCGGGACAGTATTTCCGTTTGGACTGTAACATTCGGCGGGCCATCCTGACGGTTCGCGGGGCAGCTGGTTTCGCCGAGTGGCCGTCGCTGGTGGCCAATCGACCGCTGACATTCCAACGAGCAACTTCAGGGCGGCTGCCGCCGTTCACGGCGTCCGCTAGTGGCAAACTGAGGCCGAACAGTGGCCCGCAGCCGGCCCGTCCTGCGCAACGACCCAACGCCTTCTTTATTTACTGCAATCCATGAAAAGATGACCAGGGGTGCGTACACCCTTCAGCTCAGCAGCTTAAAGTGGCTAACGTTTACAGAAGACAAAAAGAAAGGAGAAAGTAGCGGCACTCTCAGCAATGAAAATAAAACAAAGCGAAAACAGCAACAAAAAAGAAAATGGATGGGGAAAGATTGCTAATGATCAAAAAGCAAAAGTAGCCATTGCTGAAAGCAGCATGTCACTATCCAACTATACCCATGTGAACTAAGTCATCCATGCAGCTTGAGCTGCCACTATTTGGTTAGAAGAAGATATCGTCTGTCTGTTTGTCTGCCCGTCTATCCGTCTGTCCGTCTGTCCGTCTATCCGTCTATCCATCTGTCCGTCTGTCCGCATGTCCACCTGTCCGTCTATCCATGTGTCTGTCCGCCTGTCCGTGTGTATGTCTGTCCGTCTATCGGCGTCCATCGTCTGTCTGTCCGCCTGTCCGTCTGTCCCCCTGTCCATCTGTCCGTCTGTCTGTCTGTCTGTCCGTCTGTCCGTGTGTCCGTCTGTCCGTCTGTCCGTCTGTCCGTCTGTCCGTCTGTCCGTCTGTCCGTCTGTCCGTCTGTCCGTCTGTCCGTCTGTCCGTCTATCCATCTGTCCGTCTGTCTGTCTATGGGCAGCATTATCGTATTGATGGCATGTATCGCGGACGGTCGCGTGCCAAGCCATCTCCAATAATGAGCAGACATAATAACAGCATTGGCCATAACGACGGCAGAGACCGGGTCACTGAGCTGAGGTTGGCGCAACGGTCCGAAAA